TGTATATATATATATCAAAGCAATATTATGCATTAATTGATATTAATTATATCACTCGGTATAACATTTAATTTTTTTCTGCAATTATAAATACCTTTTTATTGACTTATGATCAAAAGAAAATATTTTTATTTCTTATAGATTGCACAAACTGAGCATGTTAATTAGAAATTAGTGAGAAAATTAACTAGAAAAATTAGTTAGAAAAATGTCAGTTAAGGAAAGTATCATTAGTTAGAAAAATATCAGTTTTTTATCTACATAATATCTGGTGCATATAGATGCAAATTGTCATTAATTTTCAGTCTTTACATAAGTATAACGCGAAACAATGCGAGTGCTATATAATAATAGATTTATGTTTCCAGAAACGTCTTACTATTATAATTTAATTATGGATAAAAATATATATAATTACCTTAATTATAAACTTAAAGTATTTTAAGTATTTCAAATATTATCTTTCAAAGCAAAAATATTTATGATTAGGTATAAATTTTAATAATTTTGCGAAATTGCAAAAAAATGTTGCATACGATTTTCGTATATATACTCGGAATATATTACTCGTGTATTATAATGATCAAGAATTTATCTATAGACATTCATTTACCGCGTTTATCAGAAAGAAATTGCTTCTTCTGGTATTAAAAATTTACTTATGTATTTACATTTAATTATATGTATTCACATTTAACTTATATATTCATTTATATATATTCATTATTTTTCTATTAAACTTAAACAAAATATGAGATAAGATATTAATTTCTTGCAGTTTAATAAACATTTAAAATTTCTTGCATTTCTTGCATTATTTTTTTAATGTTTTCTTTGAATAATTAAATAAGTAAATAATTAAAACTGCAAAAAATTAATATCTTATCTCGTGTTTTGCTGACTAAGTTTAATAGGAAAAAAATGAATATATATAAATGAATATATAAGTTGAATGTGAATACATATAAATAAATTTTTAATACAGACCACAGGAAGCAGTTTCTTTCTTATAAACGCGGTAAATAAATGTAACTCGCGTTTCTGCGATACTCCTTCCTACTTTGTTTACTTGCTCTTGTGCATAATTCATCATTTTGTCTGGTATGATTCCATGCACGTATTGCATAACATTAAGTTCGTGTTATTCTGTACTTTGTTATTATTTAGCAATAATATTTTAACTTGTATTGTTAAATACTTTTCATTTTTTTTTATTACTAGTGAGCGATCTTCGTCTTTTTTTGTTTATTGCGTGATTCATATAATTTAAACATTAAATTTCATATGATTTAAAATATTAAATTACATTATTTTCTTTGTAAATTATAATTATCTTTTGTTATATATATTTTGTAATTATTTAATTTTGCAGGTAGGACAGGAACAGAAGAAAGATTCCTGCGAATAGCAAGAAACGCAAACAAAATACAAGAAACTATTCCTGATTATGTTCCTTTTCCTTGCAATGTGACAGGTAGGACTTCAAAATCTTATTACTACATTTTTCTAATATTTATCCTTTTGGTCATACTTGTCATATTTAGCACATATTTTTATGAGAAATATATTCATTAAAAATTACAGATTTAAATGGTAATGTTTTTAGTAATAAATAAATAAAATATTCTATTCCTATTCAATATTTTTAAATATATTTATATTTCAATTTTTATTACTTGGATTTCTCTTAATAGAATCAAAAGTCGCGATTATTTTGTTACTTTTTTTTATTTCTTTAATATTTTAATATTATATATTTATATACAGGAATTCTTCACATATGTGATGTCTTTTATCTAATTAAAGGAGATATCAAATGTAATATTAATTAAGTTGTTTAAACTACATTTTATTACATAAACACAATGCTTATAAAAGTTATATATATATATATATATATATATATATATATAA